TTGTCAACCTTGGGCTTGTCAGCCTCAGCAGCCAGCAGCTGTCTGAGTGAAGAAAAGCCACTAGCTTCAGAGGGCTGAGAGCAGAAGGCAGAGCTAAAGCCCAAGGCTGAACGGCTTTCACCCAGGCCCTAGAGCTTGGCATTTTGAACTAGGACTTAAAGCTTCCAAACTGTAAGAGAATAAACTGTTAAAGCCATCCCATTTGTGGTGTATTCTTGTCAGAGTGACACTAGGTAACTAAAACAGGATGGGAATGCTTATGGGCTTGGGTGGGTCTTTGACCTTTGTTCAGTGGTTACCTTGAAGTCCTGGATAAGGGTTGAGATGGAAAAAGGCACCCTTCAGAGTGCAGTCCACTCCAGGTTTTTGTTCTGGGCTGCTGGTCTGCCCTTCTGACACATCCCCACCCCCACCCATTGGGCCTTAACCATCTTAGGTGGTCTCAGGGATTTTTTGTTGTTAGACTGTGTTGACAGTCCCATTAACCTCTGTTGGGGTTCTCTGATCCAGCTAGAAGCCACAGCTCAGGCCCTTTAGCTGTGACCAGTGTTTCCTTTGGAACTTGGCCTGATTTATAGCTTAGTTTACACCCTCTCTGGGAAGGCTTCCTTTATTCCTCACCCTCATCTCCCACCTCAAGACATCTCTGAGTCCCAGCTTCAGCTGACTCTGTCACACTAAACTACTCATTACATTGGGCTGTGCCTTCTATTTCCTGAGCTGTCTTCCCCAGGATGCTATAATCTTTAGGATTAGAACTGTGATTTGTCCCTTTTGAGAGCTCCAATACTACGCATCTGGCACATAGTAGGTGCTTTATCGTTGTTAGTTGCCCTCTAGTCAGCACTGACTCAAGGCCACCCCACATACAATACAACGTTGCCCGGCCCTGCTCCATATGTGTGATTGCTGGTAGCTCAAGTCTATAGTTGTGGCCACTGTGCATTTCAAGTGCCTTCCAACTTAGTGGACTCGTCTTCCAGTGCTGTATCAGACAATATTCTTCTGTGATCCATTGGGTTTTTATTGGCTAATGTTTCAAGTAGATCTCCAGACTTTTCTTCAGTCCATCTTGTCTGTAAGTTCCCCTGAAACCTGTTCACTGTGGTGACACTGCTACTATTTGACATACAGGTGGCATAGCTTCCAGCATTACAGCAACACACAAGCCACTACACATTTAGACAAACTGACATAAGGAGAGTGGAATAGGTACTCTAGATACGTAAAAAAATAAAAGTAAATGTGACACTATCATGTGAGTTGTCTGAGGTCACACAACTTCCGGATAGAATTCTTGCTCTTAGGAGTATAATTGTTAAAAATTCAGCCACTTTCATCAAAGATCTAAGTATAAAAATGAAACCTAGAAGAGTACTAAGAAAAAATAGAATATTTCTGCAATTTTATGATGATGTTCAGCACTTAACATATGTTTACTAAGCACCTAAAAGATGTGTATTGTGTGTTTACCTTTTGTCTGAGAATTCACTTTTCATATTATTTGTTGTTTTCTTATTAGATTGTTGAAGCTCTTTAGAGGTTACTGTCATTAAATCTTCTTGTTATTTATGCTATAAATATTTTCTCCCAATTTGGCTTGTCTTTTGCCTTTGCTCATGGAGTCCTTAACCCTACAAGAGTGTTCAGTTTTTATGCATTTAAATCTGTTAGTCTTTTGTGGCTTCTGGATTTTGTGACAGACTTTGAAAGTTCTAGAGGTGTGTCACTGTTATGTCTAAATGTTGCCTGCAATGAATAAAATACATTAGTTTCTTTTATTTCCCCTGGGAAGATCCTTACGATCCAAATAAATTAGTTTATGAAATAAAAATTTGTATTCCTCACCTGGCTTCTGAGTATGCCCTGTGCATTCATGCTTCCAGACCTTTTTCCATAACCTGGGGTCCCTTGGTCTTGCTGGGCCTACCCTTCCATACCCAGAATACTCTTCACTTGATGAAGCTCAGTGTGATAGTTGAAGATCTGTCAACTTGGCTGGACTTCACTTGTGAGTGGTGTTTCCCATGATGGATCACATGACTACGTCCTAAGCGGCCGGTCAGTCTAGTGGGAGTTTCCCCAGGGGTGTGGCCTACCTGTAATACTATCCCAGGAACAAACTGGAAAAAACAGCATTCCAGATATATGCTTCCTGGAGCGAGTAGCTCGCTGCGCGCGCCGGAGGAGCCTTTTGGATTTTTTTCCTTTGTTGGGAACGACGGCTCTGCGTGTCGGTTCTGATTCTCCCGGCTCTGCTGCGCTTGCGGGAGCCAGACGACTCCGGGCCCCATCTCTCGGCGGCCCTGCGTGTCAGTTGATTCTCCCGGCTCTGCTACGCTTGCGAGAACCAGACAACTCCGGGCCCCATCTCTCTCCAGAGACGAACTTTGTGACTTGAACTCCTCTGCCGTGCGTGTGAAAGCCAGACGGCCCTGGGCCCCATCCCCCTCCAGAGACGAACTTTTCAGATTGAATTTGCCGGCTTCTACACGTTTGTGAGCCATTTATCTAAGATAAATCTCTCTCTCTCTCTCTCTCTCTATAAATATATATATATATATATACTTTGCTGGTTTTTGTGTTTCTCTAGAGAACCCAATCCAACACACTCAGCTCCCAGATCAGCTGTGAAACCAGTGAGGCTGCTTCTGTTCTCTTCCCACCTGAATCAGTCTTTCCAACTATCTGGGGTTGTGGGGTGGCAGAGCCCTTCCATGTCTCTGGGGTAAGGGGATAGAGCCCTTCCATCTGAGGGTGGTAGGCTTGTGACAAGGTCTGCAAGCTGGAGTGTGTTCTGCTACAGGGAGTTTGTACCTAATGACATGTACCACCTTTTTCCAGGAAGGCCTCTGGTGCTGCAGTGGCTCTGCAGAAAGGACTCGTGCTCTGGGGGTGGCTGTGAGGATATCCAAGGCCACCCCATTCCCTGCATCTTCCCTCAGGGCTGGCTGCAGGGAGTAGACAGGAGAGGTTGGTCTGAGGGTTGCTCAGGGCCTTATGGAGCTTGGGTCTCCTACTCTGGGCTCAGGGTTGGAGGTGTGATTGAGACTGAGTCTGGGGCTGTATTTGGGTCTGGCTTGGAGTTGTGATCAGGGACTCGTGAGGCTCAATTTGGAGCCAAAATGAGGGGCTTTGTGCTTTGACCAGGGCCTGGGTAAGAAAGGTCTGCTGTTAGGGGTGAGGATAGCACCTAAGGGCTCCACTGGGTTCAGGCCCACCTGGACTGGTGCAGGGTCCCCATGGTGCTCAGCATTCCCTTGGTACTGGTGTTGGACTTTTGCCATGTGCTGTGGCTGTTTGGCTGGTGTGGGTGACCTTCAGAGAAGACAGCAGGATGAACCCAGGTCCAGCAAATGTACTCGGAACATTCCAGGGCACCAGACCAACTGGATGATTTCAAGTAATCCTCTCCCTTTTTTTGACTCTGTTTAGCCATTCAACCAGTACTTTCATCCCTCACATTGCTAACCCATTGTCAGTGTCCCCATCATTTAGATGTCACAGGATTCCAGCCTTGCAGCCTCACTCACATGTGGGAGTGAAAGTTGTAGCCCCCTGCTGGTCATGTGGCTGAACTACCCCTGTCACTGCTCAGGGCACATCCCAGAGTTCACCCTGTGGCTGGTTGGGATGAGTCTGGTTTGAGGGAGGCAGCTGGAGCCAACCTCAGAGAATCTGACTGTTAAGGTCTTTCATTACCACCTCCACCCCTAAGTTCCTGGGATGTCCACCTCATCACTGTTCCAAAAGCCTCTGTTCTACCAGGACCGCCTCGCTTACCAGGAACACTTGGAGATCTAGGCTTCAAGTCCTGAGAGCTACTGACATTGCCCCCTTCCTCCTCAGAAGCCCAGAACTCTCTACTGGGATTTCCTGGGGAGATTCCTGTGCCCCATCCTCTGCTTTGTCCCACTCTTGAGCTCTGAGAAGGCCAGGACTGTTTTCCCCAGTACTCCATATCCTTACCTCCTGGTGCTGCGGTCTCAGCTGAACATGGAACCCACTTATTGAGGGACTAGTTGAGCTCTGAGTCAGATCCAACTCTCTGGCAGTGAGTTTGGGTTTTTTTTTTAAGTTGGGCAGAATAGGGTCCTGCGGGGTAGTGAGCAAGTATGGAGAGCAGGTGACTGGGACAGGGGCCTGGGCATAGGGAGAGGCAGGATGGTCCCAGTCATCCTTGTCCTTGGCACCATGTTTGAGGATGCAGGTGAAATCCATGTAGTTGAAGTTGGGCAGAGTAGGGTTCTGGGCCTCAAGGCTTTAGGGACCCCCAGCCCCTCTCCAGCCAGGGCCCAAATGGTCAAGGAGGAGGATCAGGGCAGACACTGGGGATGAGAGAAGGGGATGGGAGGGTGTTGTTGCCTAGGAGTTATCTTGTCACACCCCAACCCCAAACACACAGACCAGAAGCAGTGCTTAACCTTCTATTAGAGACTCGCCTCCCAGGCACAGATTCCACTCTGTATGCATCTGCTTGAGCACACGCCTAAGGTGGGGTGGGGTATGTTCTGGTGACTGGGCAGGACAGGGAAGGGTCCTGGGTGAGGCTTGTGTTTGTGGCAGTGGCTAGAAAAGGGCTTTCATGTCTTACATGGGCACACGCATGGTGTCAGACGCCTGGATACAAGGCCCCTTCTTTCTAGGTGGCAGCCCAGAGCTGGGCAAGCCACAGCTGAAGCCTAGGCTCCCTTGAGGAGCCTTTCCCTGGTGCCTCCAGGTTCTGCCTCTCTGATCATCCCTGGAAAATGATCCTTCCTTGGTTGGGTCAGTGACTTCCTCCCAGATCTCTGGGGTCATGGTGGGAATGCCTGCCTTCAGTTGACTGCCCATCTATCTGTTGGCACATTTCCTCCATTGTGAGGTAGGGCCCTAACCCTCTGAGGAAGGATTCCTTGATAGGGTCCTGTGGGGCCTAGGCAGGGAGATGGTACAGGTGAGTGAGTGTGGAGAGGAGGTGACTGGGACAGGGGCCTAGGCATAGGGAGGGGCCGAGAAGCCTAGTCATCCTTGTCCTTGGCACCGTGTTTGAGGATGCGGGTGAACTCCACATAGTTGAAGTTGCCTTTTTTATCAATGGGTGCTTCGCGGTACATCTCATCCACTTCCTCGTCTGTGAACCGGTCGCCCATGGTGGTGAGCAGCTCCCGTAGGTGGTCCTCATGGATGAAACCTGGGGAGCAGAGCCAGGATCCATGAGAACAAAGGCTTTGACTGAGCTGCACTCAACATCCCCTACCCCATGGCCTTCCAGCCCTTGTAGAGGAGGGGCTGGAAATATAAACACCCTGTTCTCTGAGAACATGAATGGAGGGCTCACAGGGTCCTGAAGCGAAGGATTCTGCAAGGGACAGTCCATGAGGAGCTTCTGTAGGGAACCTGGGGTCATGAGTGCAAGGGATACTGGGTATATCCTGCTTTATTGAGGACATGAACTTAGAATTCCACTGTCTGAATTTGAAAGCTGTGTGAACTTAGGCAAGTTACTTAACCTCTCTGTGTCTGTTCTATAAAATCATCAAACATGGTGAAAATGTACCAGCATCCCATGGGACTGTAAAATCAATCAGAAACATGTTCTTAAAATGCTTATGGACCCTAAGAAATGTTACTGCTGCTAAACTGTTGCTGCCGTCATCTCTCTTGTATCTCAGGGAAAACTGAGAGATAGGTCCTTTAGAGCTCTTTTTGTTGGCAAGAAGGGCATCAGATGGTTTGATCTGTTGAAAGGCCAAAGGCACAGGGAGAGTATTTTGGGCCAGTAGGTGAAAATCAAGAGTGGGGAGTCTGGGGGCAGAAGTCGGGATGGGCTGTGGGCTCCAGCATTTCAGGGAGAGGACAAGGCCAGAGCAAGGCTTTCTCCTTCCCGTCAACAGAGACAGGGACAGATGGCTTCTGCTCTGGTCTTTGGGTGCAGACGTGCCGAAGGCCCAGGGAGGCTTAGCCCCACTGCATACATTCCACCCCTGCCCAGGCCTCCAGCTAGGGGTGCCTACCTGAGGCCTCCTCATCAAAGCAGGCAAAGGCATTGCGAATCACGTCCTCGGGGTCAGTGCCGTTCAGCTTCTCTCCAAACATGGTGAGGAACATGGTGAAGTTGATGGGCCCCGGGGCCTCACTCATCATGCCCTCCAGGTACTCATCTGTGGGGTTCTTCCCTGTGATGGCAGGGCATACATGTCTGCTGTCACTGGGCCGCCTCCTCTCCCTACCCTGGGCCACACTTGCCTCCCTGTTCCCTCTCTTGTGACCCAGAGTGAGAGTCCACAGATGGGTGCTACTAAGTGTTGCAAACTATAAAGCACTGGGCCAAGGTGGCCAGTTTTCTGACTGCTTCTGCCTCCTGGGCTTTCAAAACACAGGGTGAATGTCACCAAGCGCCACTCTCTGTGCACCTTGACCAGTGTCCTCTTCTGGTCTAGGTATCAGTGATCGGCACCTTTCCCTACATTAAGAACTTCTGCTTGCGGGCATCACTGCATTTCACTATCACCACCCTGTGAGCTCAGCGTGTCAGCCCCACTTCATAGATGGGGAACCTGGTGCTCAGGGAGGTAAGGACGCTTGTCCATGGTCATACAGTGAATGTGAAATGGAGCCTGCACTTGAACCCAGGCAGCCTGACCTCAGATTGTAAGCAGTTTCCAAGTGGTTAAACCAATGAGCTTTGGTATTACCAATGTTGCCAGGCAGCCCAATCCTCAAATCTGCCAGAGGGAGTTCTACTCTGGAGTCAGTCTATATGAGTTCAAATCCAACACTAGACCTCAGGCAGATCACAGAACTGCTCTGTGACTCAGTTTCCCTGTCTGTTGTGGAGAAAGAATTGTACCTACTCTGTAGGGTGAGTACCACATGTGTCACCTACACAGGAAGTACTCTGTGGGTGAGGAGGAGCCTCATTGCCTTCACCTTGTCCCCATGTATACCTCCTACCCCTCTCTGCTCACCCATTGAGGCCAGCATATCATGCAGATCTTCTTTGTCAATGAAGCCATCACGGTTCTGGTCGATCATGTTGAAGGCCTCCTTAAACTCCTGGATCTGGGACTGGTCAAACATTGCGAAGACATTAGAAGTGGCCCTCTGTGGCCGCTTTTTGGTGGTCTTGGCCTTGGCCCGTTTGCTGGACATCTTGGCTTTGAGTAGGTGGGGCTTCACTGCAGGAAGAGCTGGGAGGGAGGGAATAAGGGTTTGGCAGCAGAACAATGAACTTTCCTACCTTCCCTAGACCAGCTCCTGGGTCTGGCATTCAAGGTCTCCCATAAGTGTGGGGCTCTGCTACCCAGCTCTTTGCAAAAGTAGATAGGCCTGTGACCTTTGACAGCTTCATCTCTCTCTTAGCCTACATTTACTTATCTGGGAATAGGGACATGAGGAGCACCCCAAAGTGGGGATTAATTGACTTAGTGTCTGAAAAACACCTAACCCAGTGCTGGGCACAGGGCCTGAGTGGGCTGTTTTCACTATGCCAGGGTGAAGCACTTGGGTTTGGGCTCTGTGCCAATCATCTCCATGCCTTATCTGCTGTAGTCATTGTCAGCATTTACACCATCCATCTTTGCCCAGGTGAGAAGGTGGGTGGGCATGTGGCAGGCAGTGAAGGCTCCACTGCGGGCTGCCTTCCAGGCTCCCTGGGTCTTAAGGAAAGAGCTGGATCAGCCACCTCCCTGCACATTCCTGACATTCCTCCTCTTCTCTCCCTTCCCTTCCATCCTCTGTGCCCCGCCTCCTCTCAAGGTTCTGGAAGGCCAGGCTCTGGGCATTCTTACCTCATCCCCATTTGCCCACACCAGCCTGACGAGCCCCCAGAGTGTCACAAATATGATCTTGGGCCAGCTTTTTGTTCTTATTCCCCAATGCTTATATTGGCGTGAGCCCCTGGCCTGGGCTGAGAACCCAGCTCCCTGTCACCCTGGTCTCCTAGCCTCTAGCCAGTTTCCCATCCCAAACAGACCCAGACCTGAACCCAGCACTTTGAAGTACGCAGAAGTTCCCACTGTCCCTGGAGTAAGTGTGGGCCCCTCAGCCTGATATTCAAGGGCCTGTGTGAACTCCACTTTCCCCCATCTATGACGACAGCACCCATCCCTGCCTCCCTTCTTGCCAGTCTGCCAAACTGCACCTCTGCCATTTCCCAGACATGCCCAGACTTTCTTCCTTTGTCCCTCCCCCTGGAATGCCCATCCCTCTTCAGCCCGGTTCTTGAGACACTCCCTCCGGAAGCTGGCCCCTGCCTCTGCTTTGACAGCAAACATTTAAAGGCCTCTCTCTGCCTCTAGATGGGGAGCAGACACTGTGGCTAATAGATGCTGGCTTAATGAATGACTGTGCGGGCAACCTTAGCCAGTCCACTGCCCTTCTCTAGGGAAGGTAGGCAAGAAAGTGAGGCTTAGCAGGGACTCTTCCCTGAACTCTTGTCACAGCTTGTGGGGAGTATGCCCCTGAGGACATAGGGCTATTTGTTCCCTGGCTGGGGCAGTTGTGGGCCTGACTGAGGTCCCAGGGATGTTGTCACCTCTTTCCTGAACCCCTTGGTCTAGGACTTCCAAGAAGCCTCTGTCTGCCAGTTTTCCACTCCACATGTGTGGTTTTGTGCCCCTCGAGCTGGTTCCAGGCCTTTATCCCAAAACCTTCTTCAAGTCATTCTCAATCTCTGACCCAGGAGATTGTCCAGCCCTGAGCCAGGAATCTGGCCAGCCCCTATCCTCTCCCCCAGGCTTCACTGCTTGTAGTCATGAGATATTGGCTGCCTGGGTCCCACTAGACAAACATAGTGGCCCTCGCCATATCTCACATGGTTCAGGTTGAGTGGACGAAAGCCTTTCTTACTCTGTGACCTGGGTAGGGGTGGGTAAGTGCCCAGGGTCCTGCCCTGGGGAAGGCCAAGGGCAGGAAACATCATTCCCAGTAGCTAGTCCTCTTCCTCTCCTGAGGTTGCTTAGTGTTTCCAGAGGCTCAATCCCTCCAAGCCCCCATGTTTGCTGGGCACTTTGACTCATGGCACCCACAGCAGGCTCCGAGAAGTCCACTGTGTGCAGCAGAGGCCTGTGATGGTCATCATTACTGCTGCCACCACCTTCTTCTCTGTAAAGCTCTGGGGCAAAAATAGCCAGGAGCAGAGAGAACGCTAAGGCCAGGAATGAGTAGCTTCAGGGAATGGCAAACAGCTCACCCAGTGCTGTGTGTGGGCCTGGCCGGGCCCTCTGCTACAATGACCACCCCACCTCACCCTCTTCTGTTGAGGACTCATGACATGGCTGAGAGCACTGTGCTTTAGTTTGCACAGGGCTGCCATGTCTACCCAGCAATCTCGGGAAGGAGAGAGGGTAAGGGTGTCCCTGTTGTGCAGACAGAAAAACTGAGAGCCTAAAAAAGGAAAATCGCCCGCCCAGTGAGAAGAGCAGAGTCCAGTTGGAAGCCAGGACTCCTGATTCCCAGGAACTCACCACCAGCCTGGGCTTGAGTGAGATGGTTGCAAATTTAGCCCATGGTATCCTTGCCACTTGAACAAAGTAGAAAACGTCTAACCTAAAATGCTCGTGGGGAGCCTCTGGGAGCCAAGGGGCTGAGGACTATGACCAGAAGCCTAGGCTTGGTTGGGGGACTGGCGTCAGGGAGGAGCTGGCCCTTAGCCTTGGCGCTATCTCCTCTCCCTCCCAGACAGATTTAATTCCCAGAAGTCCCAGACACTAGGGACCAGACATAGCTAGTGATTGGCCTGGTGGCTGTGACTTGATACCATCTCCTTGCTACTGGTACCTGAACTCCCATCATAACAGCAAAAACCCGGGCTGAGAGCACCCCCTTACCTTGTAGTCCCCATGGCTAGGCAGTGCCAGATGCCTTGCTGGCTCGTGAACTCACCTCTCTATCCAGCTCTTTCCTGAGAGCGCCCAGAGCTGCTGGAAGGCTGGGAAAGAGCAGGGACTGGTTCCCCCAGCCCCGAGCCCTTGTTTGGTCCCCTCAACAGGGAGCCTGGCAGGGCCCTTGGCAGACTTTCTCCATCCACCAGGCACAAATGGCACAGAAAGGGGGAAGCACCCCCCCCACCACCACCACCGATGACGCACAGGGCTTGGTGTGTGCATATGTGTGTGTGGGGGGAGGGGGGGGTTCCCTGGTCTCCACTGCTCTTTCCTGTCCCAGGTTGTGGGGGGATGGAGATGAGGGAGGGGCCATGGATGCCCTAGAGGGGATCTCATGGATCCCCACAAGACTCTTTCCTTGTGTGACACACACTGATGGGTCCACTGCGTAGGGAGTGCTGGAGATCATAAACCACCCTTCGCCCTGGAAGTCTGGGCCCGCATTCTCAAGCTTCCCTCCAAACTGGCAGAGCTTGGGCAACCTCCTTCCCTCGCCAAAGACCGCCAGTTCCCCAGAGCCCAGAACAGTCTCACTGCTGCCCAGCCCCAGGCCAGAATCCCTGTGGGACTGAGCAACTTCCCAGTCCTGGCCCTGCTACTGCTATCCGTGCGCAGTGGACCCTCCACCATCCCTGTCCGTGGGGCCTGCCCCAGATTCCAACCCAGTCATGGCCAGATCCGGATCAGGCCACCTCAATTTCAGCCCCAGCGATCAGATCCCATATTATGGACAACCTGACCCCTGATGCAGGCAGGCTCCCACCTGGTGCGGAGAAGGCGCTCTCTGTGCGGGACTCGGGACTCTGCCGGCCGTCGGGTCTGGGCGCTGCTTGGTGGGGGCGGGGCCGGGGCGGGGCCGGGCGGCCAGGCCTTACAAGGCAGAAGAATGTGCGCGCAGCAGGCGGGGCGGGGCCGGACCGCGGCGGCCCATTGGGCCTTATTTGGCCTCGAACCATGAGCTGGGAGGCGGGGGCTCGTCTGGGTGAACCCCCATCATGGCCACTCTCCAGGGAGTGAAGGGTGCCAGCCCCGTCCACTCTCTCCCCCGTTGTAGGGGGCTGATGGGGTTGAGGAGACAAATTACTTGGGATCTTGACAGGCTGCGGAGGTATCTGTATTTGGACGGTGACCCTGAGGCCTGCCGAGCATCCAGAGGCCTCCAGTTCTCAGACTCTGCCCCCTCTAGTTCGCCTTCAGTCCCCACTGCTCAACACCTGTCCCCCACCCCGCTGGAAGGCTTCGTTCCACCAGGGCCGCACTAATGCCACGTATGGCTTTTTTCCAGTCTCAGAAGAGGCAGGTCAGAGAGGACCAACCATCCTCACACAAAGGGCCACCGGGCAGGTCCCCAGCGGCGTGGAAGGCCATGGGGGTCCAGTAGGACCACATCTGGGTAGCCTGCTTTGTCTCAACTACCCCTCCTCTCCAGCGGGCCTCAAGTTTCCTCACCTATAAAATGGGGAAGTGGTTGAGAGGTGTCACAGAGTGGGAGAAAAAGTCGCACAACCACGGAGGAGATGGAGAGGCAGGAGGCTGGGCGACCACAGACTCTCTCCTCACAGTGGCAGCGCCTGCCCTCTCTCTTACTGGTCTGAGTCAGGGTCCTGGAAGGACACACGTGCCCCACTGGCTACGTGGCCCTGCCTAATGTGGTGACCGCTGAAAGAACCCCTTATATGTCAGCCTCAGCCCAATTTTCTCTCCCGGTCTCCAGAGTTGCCAAGGGAACTTCCCAACACTCAATTACTTATTTTGTAAATGTTAACTGAGTATCTGCTACATGCTAGGTACTACTGTACTGAGTGCTGCTGAAACAGCAATGAACTAAAGTCCTCACCTCATAAAGCTTTCTTTTGTGGAGAAAATACAGTTAATAAGGAGCTACCAGACATAGCCTAGGGTAGTCCTTGCTTTGAAGAATAAAGCAGAACAGGGGGCAGGGGAGTATAAAAGGGGCATGTCTTATGGTGGGGGGAGGTGGTCAGAGAACACCTCCAAGGAAATGACATTTGATGAGCCTTGAAGGAGACAAGGGAGCAGAGGAAGGCAAGTGAGCAGTAAAGGCAGAAGTCCTGAGGAGGGAGCCTTCTGGCTGGTGTTCTAGGAACTGAGGGAGTGAGGGGAGAAGGGAGAAGGTGTGAGAGGCAGCAGGGACCTATGGAACTCTTGGTATAGGCCACCAATAAGACATCAGTGCTTTCTAAGCAGAGGGTGACATCATCTGGTTTATGTTTTAATGGAATCCCTCTAGGTGCTATGTTGAAA